CCCACCCCCAGCCTCAGCCTCCGAGGGACCGCTCACCTGGCGGAGGAAGGTGATTGGCTGCTGGCCCATGGCATGGGCGTCCCCGATGTTGGCGCGGATGACCTCGGTGAACGGCTTTTTGATGCCCTGAGCGGACAGAAGGCCACAGCTGGTTACAAGAGCCTCTCGGACGCTGGGTTCCCGAGGCCGAGCGAGGATCCCACGGACAGTGACCAGCAGCCCTATTCCAGCCTCACCAGGCGCCGGGCACAGTGCCAAGCCGGGGACCCGCCTGGTCCCACTGAGCCGGCACCACCAGCCCATGAGGAAGAATTAGCATTAATCTCACTTTACGATGTGGACACGGAGGCTTCAAAGGCTGCAGACACTTCCCCGAGGTCACAGGACAGTAAACACAGCCCTGGGGTTTGCAGGCAGACCCACGAGCATTCTTCTTAACCACACGCTCGCCAAAAAAAAACCCTCCGCCTTCCCCACAGGCCACAAGGACCATCCTGTCCTGCCAGGGCCCCCGGGGGGCAGCTGCAGACCACAGCCCAGGCGGCCTCAGAGCCAGGTCTGAATGAGGGAGGCCCAGGTCAGGGAGAGGACCCCTCAGCCCCAGTAACGGGCCAGGGACTGGGAACGCCCCTCCCAGAAGACGCCCGTCAGCAGGGAGCGCTCAGGGTCATTCCCTGGCAACCTTGGCTTTGCAGAATGAAGAACACGGGCTGATTTTCACATCAGAAAAACAAAAAACATCAGGAAGAAGAGACTGGCTGAGGAGCAAAACCAAGGCCACGGCCAGAGCACAGAAAACAGATCCCAGAGAGCGGAGGAGCCCGCCGGCCGCTCAGGGGTTGGGCAACGACCTGTGAGCCAGGAGGTCAGGGTTCGATTCCCGGTCAGGGCACAGGCCCGAGTTGTGGACTCGATCCCCAGTGCGGGGCGTGCAGGAGGCAGCCGGTCCATGATTCTCTCTCATCACTGATGCTTCCATCTCTCCCTTCCTCTCTGAAATCAATAAAAATATATTTTTCTAAAAAGAGAGCGAAGGAACCAGAGACCCCGGGGAGGACACCACGGGGGTGACCAGAACACGGGGTCCGGACGGAGGGCAGCGGGGACCTGGAACCGCCCTGCTGCCTGGCACTCCACTCAGCCTGGGAGAGTGAGAAGCAGCAACAGGTTCAAGGCCCTCCCGGGGCAGCTGCAACAATCATCTGAGACAAACAGGGTGAAGATCTCCCGGCAGCACCCGGACCTCATCATCTTACAAAGCTGCCAAGAGCGAGGTCACCAGGCCCCGGTGGAGGGAGAAAGCCGCGGGGCAAAGCGGTGGCCAGTGCCCAGGGGTGACCCGTGGGAAGCCTGAGGCACCGCAATACACATGCTAAAGGTAGGGGCGATCACTTTAACACTCGCCTTTCCCCCACTTCTCACAATGTGTGAACAAAAGCAACTCCGGGAAACTTTCCCTTAAAAAAAAATGGTTTTTTTTATTGATTTTAGAGAGGAAGGGAGAGGGAGAGAGAGAGAGAGAGAGAAACATCCACGATGAGAGGGAATCATGGATCTGCTGCCTCCTGCACGCCCCCCACTGGGAATGGAGCCCACAGTCTGGCCTGTGCCCTGACTGGAATCGAACCGTAACCTCCTGGTTCATAGGTGGATGCTCAACCACGGAGCCACGCCGGCCGGGCAAAACTTTCCCTTTTAAAATCAATAATATACACCTTACGTAAAGGACACTGGGCTTACGGCAGTGGTCGGCAAACTCGTTAGTCAACGGAGCCAAATATCAACAGGACAACGATTGAAATTTCTTTTGAGAGCCAAATTTTTTAAACTTAAACTATATAGGCAGGTACATTGTTATTAACTTAATTAGGGTCCTCCTAAGGCTTAGGAAGAGCCACACTCAAGGGGCCAAAGAGCCGCATGTGGCTCGCGAGCCGCAGTTTGCCAACCACAGACTCACGGGATGAAAGCAGCTGCCAATCGAGTGTTCCCGACCCTCCTTCCCACCCCTCAGCCCCTCCCCCATAGACATTCTCCCGGGGCTTCTGAGGAGGGCACCCCAGAAACGACCTTCGCAAGCAGGGCGACACGTCTCCAAAAGCCATGTTTCTGGGGGGAAGGGGCCCCGTCATCCCCTGGTGCCCTTCTGCCGAGTCCCCGGGGCTGGCCCACACGGAGAGCTCTCCCGGGGACACGGAGAAGGAGGCACAGTGTCCGAAAGCCAGCGGGGCGTGGGCTGCCCCTGCTCCGGGACTGGGCCAAGGGACTGGGCCACGGGTGAGAGGAGGCCCCGGAGACCGCTGCCCACCTGCGGCCTCAGGGCTCATCTCGCAGGCGCAGCGGGAGCCAAGAAGGCTGGGACGGGAGTGGCCGAGGCCACGGTGCAAAGGGACAGGCTGACCCCCCCCCCCCCGGGCGCAGGCGGGGGCTCCTGGCATGGCCCCCTGAACGCAGGTGATCCCCATGGCGTGGGCACGGCCCATTCTTCCGCTGGGAGTCACGTTCTGGGCCGGGAACCAGCACAGCTGTGGGCGCTCGGCCAGCCCGTGCGGGGAGAATAATGCCTGGAACCGGGCCTGGCCCTGGGCCTGCACCGGCCTTGCCCTCCCCAGCACGGCTCAGCCAACCAGGGCCTGGGAACACCGAGCACCTCCTTTCTTGGGCCCGGGGCTACGATGGATGAGTGGGGGGCGGGGAGCCAGCCTGCCCAGCCAAGGGCCGCCATCCGGGACCCTGTTCTGGGCTGACTCCAGCCCACACTGCCTCATCCAGGGCTGACGGGCACACCAAGGCCCCCGCCTCGCCCCCGGGGCCTGCCAGGCCAGCAGGTAGCGTCCCTGCCCCTCGAGCCCGCCTGTGTCACCACCTGCACCCACCCTGCCCGCTGCCTCGCTGTGGACACTCAGGTGAGTTCTACCCACGGGGCTCCCTTCCCACCCTGCGGCCTGAGCAGCGATGGGAGCAGGCTGCCGGCGGCTTGCACCGAGTGTCGGTGGGGAGGAGTTAAACAGCATCACCTTGAGGGTCAAGGGGATCAAGTCCTGCACTACACATTTCTTTCTTTTCTTTATTTTTTGTGACCCCTCACCTGAGGGTATTTTTCCGTTGGTTTTTAGAAAGGGCGGAAGAGAGGGAGGGAGGGAGACAGAGAAACATTGATGTGAGAGACACATGTCCATTAGTCGCCTCCCACACGTGCCCCAACTGGGACCGGGGACTGAGCCTGGAATTGAACCCAGGACCCGTCAGTCCACAGGCCAATGCTCTATCCATTGAGCCAAACCGGCTGGGGCCAAATTTCCTTCTTTTAAAGTAGCCGCTAACTGGGAAGGAAATGACCCATCGATTTCACCACCTGTGCTGGCCCCCGGTTCTCAGCGGCTGCAGGCACAGCCGGGGCCTCCGCGGTTACCTGTACACACCCTCGTGTCGCCAGCAGTGACCGCCCTTCCCTCTGACGAGGGAGGTTCTGCCCCAGCTGGGACCTAACAAACAACCCCAGCTCCCCACGCCCAGCACAAGGCCGGAAGGACAGGAAGGCGAGGGACGGAGAGGAGGCTGAGGAAGGGCTGAGGGATCTTCAAACATTGCTGCCGGCAGCTTTTTTTTAAGTGCTGCTCCCAGCGAACACGGAACAAACAATCCCCCGCTCCCCACGCCCAGGACAAAGCCGGAAGGACAGGAAGGCGAGGGACAGACGGAGCTGGAGGCCGAGGAAGGGCCGAGAGCTTCTAACTCCGCTCCCGGCAGCTGTTTTTAAAGTGCGGCCCCCAGTGAACACGGACCGAGACGCCAACGGGTCCTTCCCTCGGAGGTACGGCCGGGAGGAGGAGAAACAGCCCCACGCAGACGGCAGGAGGAGGACGCTCCCTTCCACACGCACCGCACTGCCCTCCGCCCTCGGGCCCGAGCGTGCCCCGTGCCCACCGCAGAGGCGGGAAGGCCGGGACCCGCCAGGGGAGCCACCCCAACGCCAAGGCCGGCCCCGTGCAGCCAGCAGTCACTGTGTGCAGAGCACCTGGGGACGGAGGGGTGCAGAGGCCTCGGCAGACAAGGCTGCGAGGCTCACCCATCACCCTCCTCCCTACACATCCTTGCCCATCCCCTCTAGAACCAAGAGGAACCGCTTATAACAAGTCCAGCTTTCATCACTACCGTTCAAAGCAGAGCTGGAGAAACCAACGCGGGGCCAAGTCAAACCAAAAAAAAAGGCGGGGGGACCCAGGGGGCTCTCAGAGGGGCGCCGCTGAAGCCGGCACAGTGCAGAGACTGTCTCCGGAATGAGGGGTTGGGGGGGCTGGGCTCGCCTGGCCGGCTCTCTCGCCAGCACCAATAGCCAGGCGCCTGGGACCCAACAAGGAGAAGGGACTAGAAGCTGTAGGTGGACAGAAAGAACGGCTCAGTTCGCGCAGAGGTAGGGCGTGGGGTGTGGGGCGTCTGTCCCAGAGATCAGAGCGTGTTTCTGGCTCCAGTGACCAAGAAATGTGTTCACCTGCAACCATCGCGCCATACCCCGCGGGAAACCCTTCCCGGTCCCGCGCCTTCACACCCAAACTTCGCACCTTAAAAGCCTGAGCCCAGCACACATGTGTCTCACCCACCATCTCGTCTCCCTCTGCCCAGCAACTCTCCAAACAGCACCAGCCCCTCCCCAAGTGCCCAGACCACCCCACCTCCTCCAGGCTTTGCTCACAGCCCCGCCCGCTCTCACATCTTCTGTCTGCTGAGAAGCCCCCCTGACCCTTAAAGGACTTGGGGAGGGGGCTGAGGCCCAGAGAACAGGGCGGCTGGCGGTCTGGAGGCAAAGGTAGAGTCCCTTCCCGTCCCAACCGTCCTCGGGCACTAACACTTCCTTCAAGGAGCCTACACCCAAGTTGGTATTTAGCAAAATGCAGAGATAACCCCTGACCCCAGCCAGCTCTGGAGCCAGGGAAATCAGCTGGAAAGTGATAAACTTTGAACAACGTAACCTCAGCTGTGTGGTGACAGGGAGATTGTATCACTCCAGCCTGCCAGGTATCAGCAAGGGGCAGGGCAGCCGTACCCTGCGTGCCCCGCCCGGCCCCACCCGGCCCACCTCCAAGTCCAGGGAGTGCCAGAAACCAGACCCCGCGGGCCTTCGCGCCAGCTTCAGACTTGGCCCTGCAGGGAGCCAGAGGGAGTAGCTGACGCTGGCTGGTCCAGCTCACGGTTTTGCGTCAGCAGAACTGGGTGTCCCGAGCGAGGTGTCTGCAGGCCACGAGCTCATCCAGCCCCCAAAGGCTGCGTGGGAATGGGGACCCAGTGTCACGCCCGCCACGGCCTCCTGCCCGGGGACA